TATATAATGGTTGCTAAACTTGAAAGCCAGCTGTGCTTAAAAAATACTTTAATATCTATCTTATTAAGTCAATAGAATTTTAAATGATGTGAAAAGATCCAGGGATACATAAATGCTACGAATCAAGTATAATATTAAGTTATCTATATAATAAGGCACTATTTGACATTCCAGGATTAAACACACACACATACCAACCAACACATCTTGTCTTATCAAGGGAGTGTTCAGTCAAAAGCAGCTGTGACCAAATCTGAAATAGAAGTCAGAAACGTCTAATTTAAATTTTTCATTTGTTTTTTGGAACAATTATGTCACCCATGAAAGTGTAACTTTGCAAGTCATCATTATCTCATGAATATTGGAACTTATCCTTAAATAAACATATCTCATTTCCATGTGATTATAACAACTATGGAGGTCCTTTAAAAAAATTAGCTTAAAATTTAAGGGTGTGGTAATCCATGTTACTGGCATGTTGATCAAATTTGGAATTTGGCTTTTAAAATAAGAACTTCATGTGAATTTAAAAAGAGAATAGTCTTGAGGAAGAAATCTGTATGGCTTTTGAAATTATCTTTGATTTCAGGCTCTTAAGCATGACCCTTCCTGAGAGTATTCACCTGTTACATTCTCCAGCCTGTTTTCTAGTAATTTATTGCATGTAATTTAGATTTATTTGTAGTAAGACACAATGGTAAGACTTCAGGCTTTGAAAGGGAGACTTTAGACATAGAAGTTCCTTCCTGAATTATTCTCTCCCCTGTCAGCTTCAGCAAGATAGAAACACTGGCTGAGTGTTTAGAAATACTCTAGTGGACCTAATTCCCCATAACAGATCACTCAGTACAAACTAATTAGAAGGAGTTAAATGTTTCTACTGAAAACACTAAAAAAGAGGAATGTTTTTCTCTGCTGCCTGCTGCTTTCTGATCATTTCCTTCCTCATAACCTTGCCATTTAAATGTTTTTCTAACACACTCGATTGAAGGTGAACTTGATGGTCCAGCTACAACCAAAAGTGTAAGTGCTGACTTGAGAATGTTCTAAACATCCCAGGGGAAAGCAAAAGTCCTTCCTAAGACAATGTGCAAGTGTGTCTATTATAGGCAGGGGAAGAGGGTTCTGTCCTAGAATTTTCCTATTAATTTTTTTTTTTTTTTAGCTGTTGTATTAAAAGCTTCCTCAGTGAAGTATTTATTCTTCTTATTATTATTACAGGCATGGCACCAAATGTTTTTACTATTTTTCTTAGGCATTTTAATGAAGACTGTTGATCCACAAATAACACCAAGGTGAACTTGAATGGTTCATTCACACTTTCTAAATTTTGCCTGCCCTTTTTCCTAGGTTTAATTAATATGCCATTAATAGTACCATTTAGGGAGAGCTCTAATTTTTGCCTCTCAGTTCTGTTTAAGATGTATCATTTGATTATTTTAGGAGTATTCTCATGGGAGCAAGCCCCAGCCCCTTCTTGGCTATAAGCCTACCACAGTCTCTATCTGCTTGACTCAGAACTGAAAGCTTACTGATGTGCAGCCACACAGAATTTCTTCAGCACAACCAGCCTCCCAATTTTCTCTCCCAAAGGCAAAGGGTGAGACATGGCATCTCTCTGGCCAACCACGGGGAATCCATGTGGTTGACATGACCACTGGCAACGACTCACCTATCCAGCAGTGGAGAAATGTGTCAGGCCAGATGGGAATGGAGGGATGATTCAAACATACGGTGCTTAGAGCTGGAGACAGTGCACAGTTACAACCTTCTGCCAGGCGCTGAGCAATTGCTGGAGTGCACTCAAGCAAAGAACCTGCCCTTCATACCAGCACAGTCCTCTTAACCAAATTGTAACTGGACAGCTCAGTCCATTGTACTGACAACCACCCACAGCCTCTCTTCCTTAATCTAGGGAGAGGACTCCTGGCTGCCTTGCTTTTATTTCTAGATAAATTATTAATGGCTATTCATCTTTGGCACATGTAATTTTTAACTATCTAAAATATTGATGGGGGTGGGAGGTAAATTCACAAGTATTTATTATTTTCCCTTGCTTTTACAGTAAATCCACTCAGCTTGCTGACTGAGATTTTCCCTGCTTCCTTCTCCCATGTGAGCCTTATATGTAACTCCAAATAGTGAATGCAAGATCTAAGATCCACAGAGTAAGCAACAAAAGTATCCACGGTGACTGAATAGCAAACACGTAAATCACGGCGCAGGAAGTACGAATGAACAATTATTGAAAACACTGCACTAAAATCTCAATAGGAGATAAGAGTGAGGCTTAAGTCACTGAAAAGGTCCATTAGTCTGGTAAGTCTGAGACAGCACACTTCAAACATAAGCTGTTTTTGATATATGAAAATATTACATATTCTACCAACTTGCACACACACAACTGACTCTAGCCAAGCTAGGACAAGGTCCAGTTGTCCAGTCCCCAAGGGGAAGGAGGCGTGAAGTGAAGCAGATAGGCTAAGCCAGGCTATTCAGGCAGTGATTCTTCAGCTATATTTGAAGGGGTGTATGTGTGTGTGTGTGTGGGGGCAACACTGACAAATCAGATAATTTATAAATGAAGTAAATATCCTGCTTTCATATCAACTCACCCCATACCATAGCATCACCATGCTCTTCATCAAGCTCTGCTGGGGACACAGATAAAAGACTTCTGACACCTCTAACCCATTCCCACAAATCACCAGAAAAGCCTAAGAATGCAGCATCGCTTTCCCTTTGTCCCTGTTGTCTCTGACTTGATAAACCATTTGCAGTTGAAAAATGAAGAAGAAAGTAATGGCCAACCAATTTGCAAAGTGAAAGCATTCTTTTGAAGAATTACCTGAAATTGCTGCAATTTTGAACACACGCACACACACACCCACAGTAAGATACATACACATGTACACATATATGTGTATGTACATACATATATACACAGTCTTCAGGATTTTCAAACATTAGGATGCTATTGAATTTTCACATGCCTGAAGTATACTGCTCAATTTTTTTTTCCCTTGCTCTTGTACCACACATTTTTATTTTAGAGACAGGTGGGCTCCCAAAGTTCTGGATACCTAACAGCTTGAATGAGAAGCTGCATAGCATAATCTGAAAGAAACGGCATTCCTGAATACACAGGCTTTCCTCTGGGAATAGAAAAACATTTCTCATACTGAAATTATGGTAAGACAATGTTCAAGACACAGAGGGCAACTTTAGCCTTGCCTTTCTAAGAGTAGAGTTCCATCTGAAGTAAGTAGGCCATCGCATTTCAATTTGTACTATTAAAAACTTGCATTACACAATGAAACTAATTACCCTGTGAATCACTCTGCTTTACAAGAGGCTGAACTAGCATACAGTTAATAACACGAGCTAGCCCAGCGAACATTACTCCAATAGTCACACGATAGTCCAGCACAGCATGGATGGCCTTTGACCAGTACTTTCAGACCCTACTGCTATCCTACTTGGCCCTACTCTCTCATGACAATCACATAAGGCATTGTTGCAGAGGGTAAAAATGTAAACGAAAATTATAATCTATTTCATCATCCTTCAGTATCATTATTGATGCTGAAATTTTATCTTGTCCAAAAGACCTATTATCTTTACAAGCGTTTCCATTTATGAAATATATATGCATGATAAACTCTATTTTATTAGTGCCCAATAAACAAGCTTACCACCTCCATCGCTACCCACTGGAAAGAGGTGGTTTTTAACTATAGATCCTGCTTATATTTGGCAATGCAATGAGGACTGTTTCCTCCAAATCAATTTCAGTTACTTTAAGACTTCTTTTTTAATATGACACAAATTACAGGGAAATCAAAACTGTCAAGACAACTAAAGGCATTTAGCTTTTGGAACTTAGGTTCCTTCCACACTCACTAAAATGTCTCAAAGGCTGAAGAAAACAAAACAGAGCAAAGAGTACACACAGAAATAAATGCCCAACAGTGCCCCTACGTTAAGTTTATCTAAATGCCTCTTTAATCTGAAAGAAGACTCTATATTTAATATTTAAAGCAAACCAAGAAATCAAGCATTTGCATCTTAGATACATTTCCTAGCCCCTCTCCAATTGCCCTATCAAACCTTTTAATATCACATAGATGTCCTTCAATGATCATGCCAGATGGGACTTACAGAAGGAAAGCATAACTTCAGAGAGGAAGAGCGAATATTCAGTCCTTATCTTTGGCTTCTTCTTATTTAGTGAAGGGGTTTGCCTCCTCTACTAGCAGTAAGTTGCAGGGTTAAGAGTGCAAATGCACAGCTCCAAGCCCACTTCTAGAGCTCAACTGATAGCTCAGCTCTAAGCCTCAACATGCTTTCTGGAAATGCAGGCAGCTCAACTGAAAACCTAACGGAGGTTTCTACCGCAGCACAAAACTAAACCGCACAAATATTTGACAGCTCCGAGACCTCTAAAGGTTTAAAATGATATGCATTTTGTGCTGGGCTGCTCCTAGCTAGACGGTACACTGAGATGGTATAGAGGAGTGTTCTCAGCTGCTCAACCACTGCTCACTAGAGATTGTTTTCCTTCTCCGCCTCAGAACAAGAAAAAACAGCTAATGCTGAATGAAATGCTCATATTGACTAAGCTTTCACAGCATCAATAGTATAGGAACTTTGTTTCACATTCCATTAAGTTAGCTCATGACTTCCCACGCTGCACCATTTCTCCTTCATCTAGCCGAAACAGCCAACTTCATTCGGGCAAATCAAGGCAAAGTTTACCCCCCTACACACGTCCCCGTCTCTTTTCTTTTCCAACTTAAACTCATCCAGGGCTAAATTAACAGCCCCAACTGTGGCACAAAGGAAGCTTTGAAGGCTGCACCGCTTTGGTCCTCCAGTTGCCAACTGGAGGTAGGTTTAATGTAATATATTCTTGCAGCTTAAGGAATTTTTTTCAGTGGTTGTCTGCACTGATGAAGAGCCGGACACCCCCAGAATTACATCATCAGAGCCACACTCACCAAAATACATTATGTTTCTCATTAATCAGACAGCTGGAACCCCACCGCGGTGTCTTCAGCATCAGCTCTCACCCCAGGCTGGCACGCAGAGCAGAGCCGTTTCATGCTACACTCGGTGGAAACGTTCCCGGCGTGGAGAGCAGTGGGCGCCGAGAGTGTGCCTCCTCCGCGGGATGAGCGCCTCGCAGGCTGCCGTTCCAGGGCTACGATCCCCGGCGGCTGGAGAGTGCGCTCGGGCTGCCTGCTGCACTGCCCATCCTTACTGTAATCCGACTCCTCCTTGCGATGTCCTTGCCGCGCCTGTGACATCAGGACTGAGAGTACTACAAACAGACCCCTCCACTCCACCCCACCCCACCCCACCCTGGGTGAGCAGCCGCTCCACGAGGTGCTCCGATTGCCTGCCTGGACCAACCATGGCTCTCGGGAAGCTTTGACGAGCCCAGAGACTTGGGAAGGGGCGGAGTGAGGGGCGCCGGAGGCTCTCTTAAAGCGAGAAGGGTCTCGGGATCCGCACAGGAGCACGCAGGAGAAATTCACCGCTGTGCCGGAGGGACGTGGTTAAGGCGAGTTCTGCCATTAACGTGTAATTAGACAACACTTTTACCCCGCCCCTCCTATGAATGCCACCATTCTCTCCAAAATTTAAGCTCCCCTGCCAAGTTAAAAAGGCAGTACGAAGAGGGTTGGTGCCGTGCTTGCCTTCTCTCTGCTGTAGGTTTGAGGGTTTGCTGTTATATTTTTTGCGTTCATATACAAGAGGAATAAAAGGAACGCAAGGGACCATTGCTAGGGTAATAGAGGTTTACACTTAGAAGTGATCAGATCCCAGAAAGCTAGTAGTTGGTGAAGAGTAATTTTTTATTTCTTGAGTGCTCTCTGAGCTGTGCTGATGGAAAGATATCAAGAAAAATAACTGGTGGTAAAAGTCACCTGTCAGTTGCCCAGGACCAAATTTGCTACCTCCCTTACTAGGTAGTTAGAGAGCACACTGAGGCTGAAATGATCTTTGACCTCCTGAAAAGGAGAGACGAGTAGCCTGAAAGGCAACCAACATTGTGTCATAATTCAAGTCCAGCCACCACCAATATAGACACACACACACACACACACACACACACACACACGCTCCCATTAAATTTGGGTTGAACAGTCAAGAAAGGCAAAGCTTTAGCAAAGCCTCTGGCTCCTCCAATGGTATAATGAGTTGCAGTCCTTATCTTACATAGAAAAGGATATTAGAAAGAAATCCCTGAAAGCTGTGCTGATTAATACTTAAATGCACAGCATGGAAAAATAAACTCATACAGAAAGTTCATTTTCCTAAGGATTCATCATTTTGGGACCCAATTTACATACTGGAATATTTGAACTTATGCATATCTGTAAAAATTTATGAAATTAAGAACTAAAGATAAACAAAGAACTGTAGTCTATGGAAGAAAGCAATTGATATATTTTTAATGTGGGCTTTTATAAAACTAGGATAGCAAATATTTCTACATTTTGATATTAAAATATTATATGGTGTTTCCTTACACAATTCTACATCTCTTGGCAGAGTTAATGTTTATAGAAACTAGAGGGCTGAAGCTCATAACAGCTTTCTGTACAGTCTTGCATAAAAGCTTAACTGCACATTCTACCTCTGTGAAAAGAGCGCAAAGACCAATATCCTCTCTCATACTAGATTATAAAGAATTTGGTGAATGAAAATAGATAATCAAATATAAATCAGAAAAATCACAGTGACTCTAAAGATAAATCTAGTGCTGTTCTTTTAGAAATACTCTTAATTTAAAGCAACTCAGATAAAAATCTAAATCATAGAGAATGTTTACTTTTTTACTCCCTTTTTAAAATTAAAATAAAAACAATCTTACAGACAAGTACTGAAGAAAATGCCTAAATGTTTTTTTTTTTTCCTTTTGGACAAGTGGAAGTTGTCCAAAAGAACAATTAATAGCCCTTCCTTCCCTCAGGCAAAAGAACCATCTGTGGTAGAGCTTATTCATGAAGCCTGTCAGCTGCCCTGACCTCCTACACGGGCTAGGGGGCACTGTAGTTTAATGTTAGTGCTTTGGGTCCGTTTGAATTCCTGTAGTTGGAAGATGCAAGCATTGAGAGTTGAGTTTCAAATAGGAGATTTGAAACACTAGAGGACTACCTTAATTACTAATAATACCCTTACATTTGCATGACATTTGACAGTTACAAGATACTTTCACATGTCATCTTTCTTACTAACAAATTGAGATACAGAAAGGTCGATACTACAGATGTCACAAACAAAGAACCTGCTGCTCAGAGATGTTAAGCAACTTTCTCAATGAAGTGATGAGTAAAAAAAAAAAAAAAAAAACAGTTGTCTTACTATTTGTTGAATGTATGTTAGATTTCTCCAACAGGTTTCCTTCTTCAAATAAATGTGCTCTTCATAATGGCTCAAGTAAAAGTCACCTCTAATAAAACAGTGTCACTGCATGTTCCAGAAACAAATATATCAATGTGGTAACAAATACATCAGCAGAGAGTATCTGGTAATAGAACATGCCAGCCTTTGTCTGGTAGCATACCCCAAAAAGCAGTGTGTAGCCTTTGAAAGAATATGGCATTCTAGAGGCAACTGAGTGTTATATCCATACAGTGTTAAAACAGAAAAGGAAGATGTCCTATTTAATTCAGGGTATGCATCCCCCTTCCATGCAATTAAGGGCTATCTGGAATGTAGAAGCCTAAGACACAAACTTGTTTATCTCTAGATGGAAAACAAGTGATTTTTATTTTAATTCTATACTTTTTCCTGTTTTACTTAAAACTACTTTATTTCTTTATTTGTATATATTTATAAAGAAAAAACGAAAAAAATGCAACTTTTTTCTTTTGATTGCTGCTGTTGTTTCGTGTGTGTGCGTGTTTTGTGCCCTGACCACCGTCTCCCTATTGCCTTCACAGTACAGCACTGGTAACCATTTTATTCCTGTTTCTATAGAGTTTGACCTTTTTATACTCTAAGTGAAATCAGTGGGTATTTGTTTTTCTGCACCTGGCTTATTTCACTTAAGACAACAACGTCCTCCAGGTTTATCCATGCTGTCACAAATGAGAGGATCTTCTTCTTTTAAAAGGTTGAAGAGTATTCCATTATGTATATATATGACATCTTTGTTATTCATTCATCCACTCATGGACAACTTGGGTGATTCCTTTAAATAATACTGCAATGAACATGGTGGTACATACATTTATTCAACATACTTCTTTTTTTAATTTTGAAGCATAATGATTTCCAAATGAAGCCACAGCTGATCTTGGCTAGATAAAGGACTGTGAACATGCCAGCTGTGCCTGAGAGATGCTCTCATATGTCATCTCAAGGGGGTGACTTAGCGGCTTCTAGGGAAGAATCTGGTTCACAGCCCGACCTTTATCTGTCTTTAAGAATCTGTGAGAACCCAGGCGCTTCTGAGGGTAAATTAAGTCAGTTTATCTGGGGTCAGCTGTAGCACCAACCTGCTTGCCAGGTAAAAATATACTTTGCACTATTAAAACAAAGAATGCCTTTGAACCGCTTACATATTTTGAATTTAAAATATCATGGTTGAGTGAAAGTTTTTTCTCTGTTCTAAGAATCAGGTAGCTGCCGGTCTTGATTTCTCATCTCATTCAAATCTTGCTTGAAGGTTTATCAGTGCAGTAATTTACTCTCCTTTTTTCTAGTTATAAACTTTGTCCCTCCCCTGACATTTCCTCTTTTCCTCCCTTATTTTTCTCCATAGCAACTATCATCATCTGACACACTATTTTAGACATCTGTTTATTTTGATTTCTCTTCACTGGAATATAATCTCGGTGAGGGCAGGGGTTGTATCTATTGAATGCTATATCTACAGTTCTTAGAATGGCACCTGCTACTTATCATTATACAATAAATATTTGTGAATGAGGGAATGAATGAATGAGCATCCTAAATACAGCTGTATTGTGTGTAAGACATCACACTTTTCTATGTGCCTGAAGACAATTCTTGGAGGTTGATGGTGTTTTGTGCAAAGAGTTTACACAAATTTAATTTGTCCATGCTTAGCAGCAGCTGTTCTTAAATTTCATGCAGTACAGATGCCAGGTGGTACTGCAGGCCACAGTTTGTGAGTGTGTTTGTCCTTCCAAATTCTTATAGCTGCATGGAGCAGAGATTTAGATTTGGCATGAGTTAGCATAGCTCAGTTGTGTCTTCCATTGCCTTGCCCTTTGCTTTAGTTTAGTCCACCTTTATCTTTTATCTATATTGTAGCAATAAAATTTTATCCAGTGTTCCTGACTTCAGGTTTGCCATGTCCAGTTCATTCTCCATATTAGATCCGTTATTATCTTTAAAAATGGTATAATCGTGTAACTCCTTTGCTCAATACTCTTCACTGTTTCTATATTTTATCCACCGAGGAAGTTAAGGCCTTTAACAACCAGGTTCCTATTCACTCCTCCATTTGTAAATATTTTGTCCTTCACACTCTTCACTGTGTGAAACCGAATGTATGGCTATAATTCCCCTGAAGACTACACTCCCTTTTACCTGCTCTCTCTACTGAAGCAATTCGTAATCAATCTTTGGGCGTCTGTTTAAATATTATGTCTTCTGAGAACACTTTCCTTACCAAAGGACTAAATGAGGTTTGTTTTTTCACATAGCACACTGTACTAATTCCTACTCTAGCATTTAAACTTAGCGAGGGAATTTGCCTTTTATGTAACCCAAATGAAAGAGGATTTTCTTTTTAACTCCATGACCTCATACAAATTCATTGCTTAATGAATTCATTATTTATCTATTAATTCATTCAACATTTTTTAATAAATTTAACAACTTATGAATGAGTATAATGTGCCAGGCATTATTCCAGATGCTGGACAAAGAACACTGCAGAAAGTACAAAGGATAAATGGGGAATACACTTTATGAATTCCAGGAAGAACAACAAAGTCAATAATGCCAGAATAGAGTAGGTCTTAAAAAGTAAACTAAGAGTTGACTTCAAATAGGTAAGATGAAGCCAAATTGTGTAGAACTTTTTAGGCCATTAGAAATACTTTGGCTATTATGACTTACATGATATGCCTTTGGAGCAACATTATTTGACATGCTTTAACAGGTTCACTATGACCCATGTATGAAGAATTGACAAAAAGGGAGCAAGGACTGATGCAAGGTGTCTGGTTAGGACGCCTCTGTAGTAATCCAGAAAAGAGAACATGACTTGGACCAGGAAAGAAACAGTGGTGGTGGAAAAAGTGGTCAGATTCTCTATATGTACAAAAATAGGTGAATAGAATTTTCTGATGGGTTAGACAGGCAATGGGAAACTTTTTAAAAGTAGTGGATTATTCAGTTTGAAGACTGAGCAATTGGAAGGACAGAATTTTCACTAATTCAGGAGGAGACTGTGAGAGAACTTGCTTTGGTGGATGTTAGAAGGTGGTCAGTGTGGGGGCATATTTGTTTTGACGTTCTTATTATATCCAAGTAGAAATGTTTCACAGTAGTTTGGCTATATGGATCTGGAGCTCAGAGGAGATGTTTGGGCTTCATATTTAAATTTGGAAGTCATGATTTTGTAAATGATAATGAAATCCATGAGATCAGATAGTATCTTTTAGAAAGTATAGATTAAAAAAGGAGAAGAGGGTTAACACTAAACATTGAGCCCTGAGACATTATAAGACCAAAGCACAAGTATATGGGTAGTTAGTGATTGAATATTTGTTGAAAGTATAACTTTTGAATGCATATGTATTGACATATGAATGACATGTGCTGAAAGGCTATTTTAAGCCTGAGTCGGCCTCTAGTATACTACCAT